TAGCTTGCTGTTGGCATTATTCAGTACACACTCTGGCCATCTTGCCAGCTGAACTAACCAGACTCAAATATATTCTGTGTTACTGCAAAATCATGTAAGCACATCCTTTGTCACTGTTACAAGAAAGATATTTCTGCACTTTGAATTATATTTTTCTAAAGTAGATGAAGTCAAAACTTAAGATCCTTCAGAAGAGTTCTGCATTACTGTATTTTGCCTTAATTCATGAACTTTCTCATTCCTTTTTCAGCTTTAGTGTAACATTTGCATTGCTTTATCCCTTGTAAATTATCAGGATCATTTGTTATAATTTGTTCATCTATCTCACTGATAGTGCTGCTGTCTTCCCTTTTAAATCTAACTCAAAATTAATCCCAATTATTTTCTCAAATATAATGCCAATTACTTAGCTTGCGTCCAAGTAGTTATATTCCATTATTCCTTCTTGAATGCATTTCTTTTAACTGAGAAAGCTCCCTGGTTACACATGAAGCCATGTCCACCTTATGGAAAATAATGAAATGCAAATATAAGAGAAGGCAGGGATTGACATTTCTGATACAGTTCCTGGTGAATGGGCCACAAACTGTTTGGTCAGTAGTACTCTGAAATGACTGTCCTGTCTGAAGCTCATGTGAATGTCACACCCATAAAGTGTCAGATAAACTTTACAAACAGGGAGAGACTTAACTACAAGAAAAAGACGCCTCATGCAGAGATATCTGTTCTACCTTCCAGGAATACACATAAAAATAGAGATTAACAACTGACTGCAGCCCTACTCACTATTCATCACTGTCTTGGGTGTGGACTTGAGTGCTTTGAGGGTTACAGCATTGAGAACAGCCATTTTAAATGCCCCAGCACTACAGGTAAAACAAAGAGAAAAGCTCTCTCTCCCACACTGAGTGCTGGAATTCATTCACTGTCAAAGGGAATCAGAACAGCAGAATTTCTGCCAACCTATAGATTCAAGAATCTCAAAATTGCCTTCTCAATTGCCAATGTTAATGCCATCAGTGCCATCCAATACAGGTACAATGTCATCGTATTCACTCTTCACAAGCAATTCAGAGATTGATCCACGTTTCTTTTGTTTATTTTTATCTTTTTGGACTCAGCTCATCTCTAATCTGTGTGTATGTATGTTGCATATCATTTTTGTTTGTGTTTAGTAGTCAATAAACTCTTGTTAATTCAAGAAAGCCTGGTTAAAATGACTCCTTTTAAGACACATGCATGCTTGGTCTGTGAGAAAGGTATTTACAAGTGAAGGAATTCTTTCTAAATTAACCTCTGTTGACCAACCGAGCAAAAGGTTGGTGGATGACCAAGGGGACCCAGTTTATCCCTGCTCACATGGGAGATTACCATTTGGAGTATTTTGTTTGGAACTGTAACAAATTGGGATCCTCGCCTGGGGACTGTTTATAATAATCGGAAGGTGTGACTGTTGCTGTGTGAGGGTTTGCACAGTGAGGCTATGCATACAACTGGAGACTAGATAAGGCAGACATTATACTTGAGAAAACCCTCCTGTAACATGGTCCTATATAGTTTCTATATTTTGCAGACACTGACCATCAGCCTGCTGTGTAGATCCAGTTTCTTTACAGTTTAAATTGCTGGCAGGGTAGTGAAAAAGGTATTAGTACACTTGCCTTTATTGGTCAGTGCATTGAGTAGAGGAGTTGGAAGGTCATTTTGCGCTGTACAGGACATTAGTTAGGTCACTTTTAGAATACTGTGCTCAGTCCTGGTCTCCCTGATGTAGAAAAGACGTTGTGAAACTTGAAAGGGTTCTGAAACTTTTTACGAGTATGTTGCCAGGGTTGGAGGGTTTGAGCTATATGGACAGGCTGAATAGGCTGAGGCTATTTTCCCTGAAGCATTGGAAGCTGAGGGTTGACCTTATAGAGGTTTATAAAATCTTGAGGGGCATGGATAGGGTGAGTAGCCAAGGTCTTTTTCCCAGGGTAGGGAAGTTCAAAACGAGAGGGCATAGGTTTGAGGTGAGAGGGGAATGGTATAATAGGGATCTAAGGGGAAATGTTTTCATGCAGAGCATGGTGTGTGTATGGAATGAGCTGCCTGAGGGAAGTGGTGGAGACTGTAACAATTACGACGTATAAAATGAGTCTGGAGGGGTAGATGATGGGAAGGGTTTGGGGGAATATGGGCCAAATGCTGGCAGATGGGACTGGATTAATGTAGGATATCTGGTCGGCATGGACGAGTTGGACCAAAGGGCCAGTTTTCATGCTGTACAACTCTGTGACTCTATGACATTCACAGCTCTATAATGTATTTTCTGCCTTGCATACCATTTTAGTAATTATCCAGCTTGAACAAAGATTCTGATCCAAATCTGTCATACTAGGGAATGCTGGAAACACACAATGAGGCAGGCAGCATCTGTGGGGACAAAGTTAATGTTTTCGGTCAACACTTTTTCATTGGATCTGTGCATACTGACTAACACTAATAGCTTTAATTCACATCACTGTTGAAGCAGTGCTGCACCATACTATACTAAAAGGTCTGTTTTCAGTTGTTCATTGTGCATAGTTCCATCTGAAGATGGGGCTTGCCATATTTTGTTCAGTACAGAATTCTGCATTCTATAGTTCACTGTTCTGCTGTTTACTGCACTTTATTGACTAAACAGCTTATTATGTATAGAGTCAGAAGATCATAGAGTCATGCAACAGGTTCTTCAGCCCATCGAGTTTGTGCTGACCTATCTACACTAATCCAGCACTTGGTCCATAGCCTTGAAAGTTATGACATTTCAAGTGCTCATCCAAGTACTTTTGGAAGATTGTTGGGTTTCCTGCCTCAACTACCCTCGCAGGCAGTGTATGCAAGATCTCCTCCACTCTCTGGGTAAAAATCATTTTCTAGGGGAGGCGATGGCTTGGTGGTATTATCGCTGGACTGTTAATGGACTGGATGGGCAATAAATGCTGCCTAACCAGCGACGCCCTCATCCCGTGAATGAATAAAGGAAAATAAAAATCCTCCTACCATTCAGCCTCAAATTACACCATCTTGTTACTGACTCTTCAACTAAGGGAAACAACTGCTTCCTATGTCATTTCATAGACACGTCTCTGTCTAATGCCAAGAGAACAACACAGATTTGATTTTGAGCAGCTAACATTATCTTTTTTTCCAAATGTGGGAGGTGGACATCGCTGGTAAGACAAAAATTGATTGCCCATCCTTAATTGTCCTTGTGAAGGTAGTGCTGAGCCAACTTCTTGAACAGTGGTGGTCCTTGGGTTAAAGGTCACCCACTGTGCTGTTAGGGAAGGAAGGAGGGAGGGAGTCCTAGAATTTTATCCCAGTGATAGTGAAGGAACAACACAGTTCCAACTTAGTGTGGTGCAAGACTTGGAGGGGAATTTGCAGATAGGGATGTTCCAAACTATCTTCTGCTTTTCTCCTGCTAGGCGGTAGAGATCACAGGTTGGTAGGTGCCTTGAAAGGACCTTTATCGAGTTTCTGCAGTGCACCTTGTAGATGGTAAACACTGTGAGCTGATAGTCAGAGCATTGAATACTTAAGGCTGTGGGTGGAATGCTGATCAAGCACGCTGTTTTGATCTGGATAGTGTTGGTCTTTTTGAGTGTTGTTGAAGTTCTACTAATCTAGGCAAGCGAAGAGTACTGCACACACTCCTGATTTGTGTCTAGACATGAAAAGTTAGGACGGGGACAGTTAATATTTTCACAGTTCTGCCACGTTGAAATATAAACAGCGATGTTCCTTTTGAGAAGAGAAATAAACTCAGTGAGACATTTAATCTAGTCATTAACATTTTGCATTATAAGCCTTAATATATAAATCTATGCTTCTGTGTGTGTATGTGTGTGCGAAGCTGTTAAGAAATTATCTTGCAACTGTAAAAAGAGAGAACATGAATATTTATAATGAGTGGGTGGGAGTGATTACATGGACATAATCTCATTGAAGAGTTTGAATGACGTAACCACAAGATGAGATTTTCACTCTAGGTGTAACTGTTCATCTTTTTTGAAAGAATTGTTATATATATTTATTCTCCGATCAAATAAATTCAGTCTACAGAAGGAAGAAATGCTGTTCTGTGTAGATTTTTAACCAGCTACATTATATAATTTCCAGCACTCAGGGACTGACAGACAATGTCCAGGTATTCAGTACACCCACAATCAACAGCAGGCTTGCTTTCTTTAAAAACAATATTTGTTGATTTTATTTGGGAAGATAAGTGCACATTTATCCTGCAACAGAATCATTGACTTGTTTTATGTGTCTGTAGCCACAGAAATACTGCAGGAAAATCAAGATAGTACAGGATAAATAGCTGTAAACTGTGCCTCTAGCACATAGATTAAAAAAAGTACCTATATACATAAATACGCATAAAATAGATTAGATGGATAGAAAGTAAGAAAGAAAGAAAGATAGATAGATAGATAGGTAGATAGATAGACAGATAGATCAATAGATAGATAGATAGATAGATAGACAGATAGATCAATAGGTAGATAGATAGATAGATAGACAGATAGATCAATAGATAGATAGATAGACAGATAGATCAATAGATAGATAGATAGATAGATAGAAGTGATGGATACTGAAGATGGAGAAGTAGATAGTTGATGGATAGATAATAGATGGCTAAATAAACAGATATATAGAAAATGTACTTCCCAAACAGAACAAAATATTACTATTTATCCAATAATTGCATCAATACATACCTATCAATACATCACAATATAATTATTGACAGAGTGTTAAACTCAAATTCAGGGTTATATTTTTCACACGCGAAGAATGATGGATTTATTGACTTGTGTGTATTTCTGCTGCTTGTGTCTTGAAGGCCTAAGTTATCCAGTGTCTAGCAGCAGCCTGCTGGCTGGGGTTTCCATGGTAACAGGCTCCATCTGGGTCTAGGCAGTTACTAGGCAGCGGAGGAGACAAGCAGCATCAGCGGCAGCAACATGGCTCTCATCCCCTCCCAGGTCCTGAGGGTTGCTATCCTGCTCTCCTACCTCTCCATCCTCTGCAATTTCAAAGCCCTCGACATCCCAGCTCACCAAACATACGGCGGCAGCTGGAAATTCCTAACATTCATAGACCTGGTAAGTCATGAAGAGAGTAAAGTCCTGATTATTATTCTATGGCGTCGCTGCTGCTAGTTCTTTCTTCTTCCTCTTTGCTAAATGCAGCTCCCCCCTCCACCCCCCTCACAGTTACACACAGACACCAGAAAAAACCCCGCTCAATGAATATTATTTCTCATTTAATGTGGGCGTTTCTTCCTCTCTCTCCCTCTGCTAACACAAAACAACATCTTCAAGACCATTGTCATTCATGAAAGGGAGAGGTTTAATTTTATATCTTGACATCCCAAGTCTAATTTTATGAATTTCAATCCTTTGCATTGTGTGATAAGGCTAGCTAGCAGGCTGAACACTTTAAATTCCCCTCCACTGGTGTTAAGAACTCAAAACCACTGCTCTGCATTTGGGGAAGATAATGTGCATTTGTTTTCAAAAGACAATGTGACAGGGGTTTTGCTTCAGCAGGAAACATTTTGCAACCTTAGTTTCAATTATTTTCACAGTGTTTCCACAAAGGTTCAGGGGTGCAGTTTGCTTGTGTAGAGCTTGTGAGGGCATTTATCAATACAGATGCTGACAGCGTTGAACATGAAAGGTACAGTTGGGCTTTCAGAATCGGCGTGTTTTGTTGGTCACTGGTGCTGGATGATTGGTCTGCTCCTACTTGAATGTCACAGGGTCAAAACAGGATTTCTGTACCTGTGATGACTGCGGATTGTGTCCCTGATGTCCTCTCTGTCAGCCTCCCCCTTTTATATTTTGCCCTGCTATTATACAATGATCTTGTTTCATGCGTATTAACAATGGAGAGAATCCAGAGTGAGTGATCCTTTTTGTCTGTTCTTCATGGTGGGAGGTGATTGACAGGGTACACACTGCAGTGATCAGTCGCCATTGATTGAATGCACAGAGACCTCAGCACAAAGCAATATCTGTAACTCACATGAATCACCCACTCTATATGCAAGCAGAATAGTGGAATATGTAAATAATAAATGGGAAGAGGAGAGCATTAAAGGACAGCCTTATCATTACAGCGATAGTCCACTGCATCTTAATGATAGTGCATCTTCAATTGTCATTAAAATCTTAGCTGCTAATAACAACAAGGGCTTACATTCACACAAGCTTCTGGACTGAAAGCAGTACATTTACCAAAACACTGGGGCATTCATGCCATTTATTTGGGCACAATTTCTGCTTTCTGCTTCACAGTGATGTTAAAGTTGTTTTGTAAATATGGGCCAGGGCCTATTCTTATTCTGGAAATAATGATAAAGAGCCCCCTGGAGGCCACAACAAACTGTATGGATTCCGATTCAATGCCAAACTTGAGTTTAAATCGTATTCGGTGGATCCTGTAAGAATTGCTGAACACTTTTTCTTTTAAAAATAAAGCCTCCCTGGGATTGATTTAACCATCCAGAGAACTGAGACCCACAATTTTAAGGGAAGATCTTAGAGATAAGTTGGTACACATGCAGTTGGATGTGTATGGACTGGGGGATATTGGGAGTTTGACTAGACAATGCAGTGGGCAGGTCTGGAATTGATAGATAGCTCATGGTGTCAGACCAGTAATTGCAGGATAAGTGGATAAGCATCACCCTTAGCATTCTATCATTGATTGGGTATGTGCTTGCATGTTTAAGATGCAAATGCATTTTTATAATGATTTTATTTGTTCCTGTTATCCCTGACTTTGTCCAAGTAAAAGTCCTGACTCTACTTATTTCAAACATGCACAATAGCAATTCTAGAAGAAATACACCTCTTCTGTTATTGATCGAGTTCTGAACCTACAGGCAGTACTAGCTTGGTGAAGCAAGCTGTTTGTGAAAAAGCTGGAGTTGTGAATAAATACTATAGCTTCCAGACCCCAAAGGAGCATCACCTCAGGAATGAAAGTTAAACTACCACACCATTGAGCAGTTGCTGAGGCAGTTTATAACGGAATAGCTCTTGAGGGAGTTTCAAGGAAATGTTGTCAAAAGTGAACAGTTGAAATCTCTTGTGGAGTTCGAATGAGATTTAGAGACCCACAGTGTCATTAATGTCTGAGAAATATTGGAAACTTGTCATCAACTATCTGTCTGTAACTAAAATTGCCTCATGTTAATTTGGGGTTTTTAGAATATGTTATATCTATCTTTGCACAGTCTAAACCTTTATTTTGTCAATTGCTCTTTTATTTGACTAAGTTTCATGTGCTATAGATTTGTTATTCTTTCTTTGTCCTAAGAAACCTGGGTGACTCTTTTCTAACACTGAATCAGTCTGAAGTCGATATACTTGGCTCAACCATCACCCTGGTTAAATTTTGAAATTTGTTATGAACTGTAGCAGGGTAGGAGTAGGAAGGAGTTGGTGCAACCCTCAAACCTCGGTCATAACACAAAGTTTCAAAGTGATAATCTCTGGTTTATATTCTGCTGATTTCATAATATAAACCAACAGAATGATATCGCTTTGTTAATTGCTCTCTCAGAATGACTTGGTATGGTAAGTGTTGAGTTTGCTTTCACTCCCACTTCCCTTTCAACTTCCCTCCTTATCATACCATCTTCTCTTATAATATGTAACACTTTTCACTAATCTTTTTCAGTGAACTTTATCTGTCACAGTTCTCCACTTCGCAAGGTTTGTCCAAATCCTTTTGTATTTCTTTCGTTGCCATATCAGATTTTCTTCGTTCACTTTTCTGAGTCATGTTCATTTATGTAGATTGAGAGCAGTCAGGGGCCTGGGACAAATCTCCATTCCTTCCAGTCAGCAAAACTCTGACTCACTATCCCTCTTTTAATAGATACCGTGGAGCTTCCTTTTTCAATCAACCTGATATCCAGCAACAAATTCTACTTATAACCAACCAATGCTCTCAGACACTGTGGCAGCCTTTCCCATAGAAGGTTGACAGTACATGTAGCTCAGTTGGTCACACTATGAGTCAAAGGTTTGAGCTGGGAGGCCTGGATTCTGGTCTCACCTGATCCAGAGGTGTGTGATCACATCACTGAGCAGGTTAATTAGGAAAAGAGAAGTCTATGACCTTGGCTTGAACTCTACATGTCTTTCACCGTTGTTTTAAACTGCTACTTGAGTGGACATACTGAAAAACAGTTTCATTTCTTTGATTCCAGTGCAACATGAGTCTTGCACACGATCTTGTCTTTAGAACAGAAAATATTCCATTGGAATTATCCAACTTTAACATTCCAGAATGTCTTTGAGAAATAAAAAAAACTTGAATTTATTCCTTTCACAAGCTCAGTGCACCGACTTCCCTTGAATGAATAAAACAGATGGCCAGCCTACTGCTTTATAGACAATACAGAACTTTTAAAGTGCTGTCACTTTTCTAACCAAGGCATGAGGGCAACCAATTTGCACAGAGCAAGTTCCCCTAAGTAGCAGCAAAAACAGAAGTTTGCTGGAAAAGCTCAGCAGGTCTGGCAGCATCTGTGGTGAGAAATCAGAGTTAACATCTCGGATCCAGTGACCTTTCCTCAGAACACCCCCAAATAGCAATGTGATAAATGATGAGGTAAGCTGTGATCTTGCTTGAGCGATGAATACTGAGCCAGAAACTGGCGATAGACTTCCTGCTTGTCTTCGAAATGATGACATGGGATTTCTTTTACTTTCACTCGAGACAGCAGGTGTGCTGTCAGCTTAATGTCGCCTTTGAAAGATGAGACCAGGCTCCAGCCACACCCTCAATGCCACTTGGAGCTGCCATCTTGAATTTTCATACTCAGGTCTCTGAAGTGGGATCTGAACGCAGTGTGTCACAAGAGCCTCCCCAAAAAAACGGAACACATTACAAACCACAGGAATAGGTGGGGCTTGAACCCAGGCCACAAGACCCTTCAGGTCACAGTCTTTTGGCTGACTCAAATTATTCATCTTCCACAACAAAAATATTCTTAAAAAAACTTTCATAGCTTAAACGCACAGGTGTACAGCCCTCTGTATTGTTTTAAAAATTTGTGTGTCACAAAATGGCGGCTTAGCCATTCTGCCAGCTATCCCTTCATTACACTGTGAAGTAAGGCACTAGACTGTTGTACCTGTGCTTCCTCAGTAGGATGGATTCTTAAATATCTCCATGCAAATGCATAAAGGGTGATAACTGTTGGTCCATAAGACCATAAGATATAGGACCAGGATTAGGCCATTCAGCCCCTTGAGCTTCACAACATTCAATAAGATCATAAAAACCAAAAGAACTGAGGATGCTGTAAATCAGGAACAAAAGCAAAGTTGCTGGAAAAGCTCAGCAGGTCTGGCAGCATCTGTGAAGGAGAAAACAGAGTTAATGTTTCGGGTTCGGTGACCCTTCCTCAGAACAGAGGAAGGTTCTGAGGAAGGGTCACCGGACCCAAAACGTTAACTCTGTTTTCTCTTTCAATAAGATCATGGTTGATCTGAAACTCCTTACATATACAACCCTGCCCTTTCCCCACAACTTTTGATTCCCCTATTGGTCAAGAACCTATTTATCTCAGCCTAAAATAGCTCTTGGTGGCAAGGAGTTCCAAAGACTGACAACCTTCCGAGAGAAGAAATTCCGCCTCATCACATGAGTGTTGCTGGCCGCGCCAGCATTTCTTGCCCATCTCTAGTTGCCCCTTGAGAAGGTGGTGGTGAGCTGCCTTCTTGAACCACTGCAGTCCATGTGCTGTAGGTTACCTGCGATGCCCTTAGGGAGGGAATTCCAGGATTTTGACCCACCCACAGTGAAGGAACAGTGACATATTTCCAGGACAGGAAGGTGAGTGGTTTGGAGGGGAATTTGCAGGGGGTGGTGTTCACATGTTTCTGTTGCCCTTGTCCTTCTGGAAGGACAGCACCTTCTAAACCCACAACCATTTGTGGGTTTGGAAGGTGCTGTCTAAGAATTTTTGGTGAATTGTTTCAGTGTATCTTATAGATAGTACACACTGCTGCTACTGAGCGTCACTGATGAGGAGAGTGGATGTTTGTAGATGTGAAGCCAATCAACTGAATGGTGTCAA